TATTCTTTGAAAATCAGGTAAGTGTTCTGGTAATAACTTTAAGAAAGAATGTATCCATCTAAACTTTTGTAGTCCATTAAATGCTTAGCACAGTTCCTGGCAATTAAGTTACTCAAAAATATTAGAGACTTGATCCATATTCAAATTATTTGCATTCATTAATTTTCTCCTAACTGAAAATCTCTAATGGTGACATATGACAAATTATGTAAGAGAATTTGATGATTAAAGGTAATATTACAATATATTTTTCTCCTTGCTGTCAGAGCAAAAGGAGATACAATCTCTGCCACCAACTTTTTCCACCTTCAACACACACACACACTTCTAGCTTAAGTGATATATGGAATCGTGTCTTTAATTGAAGTTTTTAAAATAGGTACCATACTAATAGCTTTTCAAAAGATGCTACTTTCTAAAGATGCTACATCAACAGCATTTTCTAAAGATGCTTTTCTTTCTTTCTGAAGATGCCCATTAGTGAACAAAAAGAGCCAAGCTATTATTTGTCCTGGAGAAGCTTGTGATATAATATGCAAAGATGTCATAAAAAATTATCTCAAAATGTGAATATAAACCTTAACATCAGAAACACCATGGTTTTTAAAGGATTTCCCACTATAAAACTTAAGTAAAAGTAATAAAAGAGATGAAAAAGATGGGTTAATTCTCTTTAACCCTACTGACATGGAGGCTCTCCAGTGTTCTTGAAATGTAATGGGCTCTGCAATAAATTCTGTTTAACACATTTGGAGCTTCTGCAATAATTATTGGAACAACAAGATAATCTCATATTTAGAAAATGAACTAAATAGTATTCAGATTTTCTGCAATTGTGACTTTTTCAAAACACTATGAAAGCCTTAATAATTTTAATGACAATGGTCAACATCTTTCAGGATTAAAAAATAAATTTAAAAATGTTTTCAGAACAATAACTTTCTCCATCTTTCTCCAAACCACAGAATTAACTCTGCAAGTGAATTAGGTTAGTACCCACTAGCTCTGAGGGTACCATGCTGACAAGTCACACACTGGCTCTTGAAGACAGGCTGTTTGTACACAAGACGTACCTTTATATTTTACTGCATAAAGACAATTTCAATACTACATCCAAACCTGAAAACATTTTTGACATTACAAAAAATAAGGGGATTGATATATAAGAATATATGCTGCCTCCCCATCTAAATATTTAATGGCCTCTTACCACTGAATTGAGATCAGAGGGCCACAAGGAGGGGTGGCTCTCAAGGCAGCATTATGAGGTATATTAAAAAAAATACAGTGACTGCTGCTGCCCAGTGCTATTCAACAGAAAGGTGATGTTCATTGTGTTTTTTGACCTTGATGGAATTGTGTGGGCTGAGTTTGTACCCAGGAACATTATGGTGAACTCTGAATATTACAAGAGCATATTAGAGTGTTTAAGAAATGATGTGCATAGAAAACAGCCTAAGAAATGAGCAAACGTTTTCGTCCTCCATCAAGAAAATACCCCGTGTCACACATCATTTCTGGTACGGCAATTTCCGTCAAATATAAACATTACAGTGTGTCATCATCCATCTTAGTCATGGGATCTGACACTGTGTGACTTCTGGCTCTTCCCCAAAGTCAAAATGACCATGAATGGCAAATGTTTTGAATTGTTTCAGGACATTGAGGCAACCACGACAGCGCAACCAAAGACACTCAGGAAAGAGGACTTCCAGAACTGCTTCAGAAAGTGGCAAGAATGATGGGATAAGTGTGTTCAAAGCAAGAGGGAATATTTTGAGGGGGATTAATGGCAATGTGTCTTTTACTGTAATACTTTTTTAAAAAATTTAAACATTCACCGTATTTTGTGACCACACCTTCATATACTGTGTTCATAGCAGCGTTATTCATAATAGTCAAGAGGTAGAAGCAGCTCAAGTGTCCTTCAACAAAAGAATGGATAAACAAACTGTGGTATATATACCCAATAGAATATTTTTCAGCTTTAAAAAGGAAGGAAATTCTGACACATGCTACAACATGAGTAATCTTTAAGGACATTATGCTAAGTGAAATAAGCCAGTCAGAGAAGGACAAGAATTGTATGATTCTACTTACATGAGGTATTTAGAGTAGTCACATTCACAGAGACAGAGGGTAGAATGGTTATTGCTGGGGCTGGGGGCGGGGTGTTCTGGAGTTATTATTTAAAGGGTATGGAGTTTCAGTTTTGCAAGATGAAGAGTTCTGGAGAAAGCAGTAGTGATGAGTACACAGAAGTGTGAGTTCACTTAATGCCATCAAACTGTAAACTTAAAAATGGTCAAAATGGTACATTTTATGTTATGTGTATTTTAAAGCATTTAAAAATTAGGAGACTCTGAAAATGTTTTTGTATTCGTCTGTGTGGCCATTGTGGAGATGAAGTAGACATATTCGGGATATTTGGAAGGTATAGTCAACAAAGCTCTAGATTAAATGTGAGTGGTGTGGGAAAAAGAAGACTCAAAGGTAACTCCACCCTGGTGGAGATATCAGAGCAGTAGGTGGGTATAAAGTGTGGGGGTTTAATGAAAGGCCATGGGCATATTCATAGATGTGGAAGCCACCAGAATATAGAGGCCATTTAAGATAAATGTGTGTAAACAAATACATTACAAATAAGATCATGTTACTGCTCCCTTCAACACTCCCAAAGTCTTCCCATACTATATTTAAAGCCAGATTCTCTACCATGGCCGAAAAGGTCATGGATGACCTTCCCCACCCCCAACCTCCCCACCCCCTTAGCTCTCTGTCCTCATCTCCTGCCACTTTCCCCTTTGCTCAGTGCACCTCAGTCACTGGAGTGGTAGATACATGGCTCAATGAGTTTTTCAAAACCCATATACTATTATAACCCAGAACCATATACCACTGAGTAAATTTTGCTGCATGTAAATTTAAAAAATATATTAAAAAATTAATACTGGGAAGAAGATAGGAGAAGGCCTGAAAATAAATACAAGGTAGAGTTCAATGGTGATTAGAAGTGTTTTTTACACTACAAAAATAAAAATATGACCTTCAAAGTTGATAGAGGTGAGTGGCTTAAGGAA